TCTGCGTGTTCTGCACTGCCCCGATGTGGCACAGCTTGCAATATGCGTCGAGGAGTAACCAGAAATAAACTCCTTCAACGGGTCCGGCAAGGCCTACGTGTATACGCGACCCTGGAGAATCCGGTTGTGGTTACGAGTACACGGTAGTTTTTAACGTCAGCCTGAAAGCACACGAACATTTAGGACGCCTGCGCATGACGTTCTTTAGCTGATTGTTCACCTACGGATAAAGTATGTAGCTCTACGTGAGAGCTTTTAAGCGCGCAATACCTAGATGCTCTTTACAGAGTTATCTTAGGATGCGTTTTTAAAGGCTTGCTGGGGGCGAGGTGCGATTTGCCAAGAACAGACAGAACTCAATGTCGGACAATGAGTCGCGCCGCGCAAAATACTGAGTGCATTCCGCTTGCTAGCCGAACATCCTGCTCGTGGTGCCAGCTGGGCTGTTCGGGTTTAATCCGTTCCAGCAAATTGTTTGTCTGCAGTGTTCCAGGAAGTGGTGGGTTTTCGCCTGGCAAGCGTACTCCCTATAAAAGCCACAACTGTCTGCTTAACAACACTGTGAGGTGGCGGTCGTGACTCGCCACAAAATAACGTCACTGTCCCGTGGATATCTGGATATTACTTTCCGACCCACGGGCATTAATGTTCTACTCACACATTACTGACGCTATCAAACAATCAAGGATGGAGAGCACAAGTACAAGCATAAACTACAAAGCTACATACACACAATTAGATACGCAAACATACGCCGTTATGGCAAACATATCGGATTTTGGTACATGCTTCATCATGTATTGTTATGTCAAAATCGTCATGTCTGTAAAGGTGTGCCTCGCCTTGGCAAGAATAAAGGCGTTTTATTAACTTGTTTAGTTTGACCTAACGCCTTTTAGGAAAGCCCTAACTGCTTGTAGCTAGGCATCACGTTTGGTCGCCTGAATAACGATGTTGACATTTATAGGCACGTTGTCTTGTAGCATCCGCACGCACGCACGCACGCACGCAAGCACGCGCAGACGGGACGTGCAAGCTTGGCCGATACAAGGTCACTTGACCTTATCGACTCATGTGAGACTTGAAAAGACACACAACATATGCATCACCTGAACCACGGCCGAGGAACGTCAATGGGGCTGACTACATGCTATGCGATTGAACAGCGCCTTGTGCCCTACCGTGATACATTGTTAAATTGTGTCAATTTGTTGTCACTTTTGACAATCTATTTTCCTACCTAATCTCGGAGTTTTCATTATTATTTGTTGGGTCGTTAATTACGTAATAATACGCAACAGTATTTTCCTATAAAACCCCAACAAATTTGGTGGCCCCGACGTGAGTTAAAATGGCCTCCGAAGACAGCCATTTGATGTCCTCTGTATCACATCAACCAACGCACAGAATTGACACTGTTTCAGTCAACCTCCCGCCGTTTTGGCAACATGATCCAGCAATCTGGTTCTGTCAGGTCGAAGCACAATTCCATTTCCGGAATATCACACAACCGTCAACCATGTTTTATCATGTGCTTTCTGTGCTTCCACCTGAAGTTGCTGCGGATGTTCGTGATGTGCTACAAGCCCCAGATCAAGTCACCCCTTTCAACACTGCGCGACACTATCATCAAACGGACAACGATATCAGAATAGAAACGTCTGGAACAACTCCTCAACGGTGCTGATCTTGGTGAATGTACACCATCACAGTTACTTCGTCGAACGTACAACACTTTGGGAGATCGCCAGCTTGATTCCGCTCTTTTCATCCAACTGTTTTTGAAGTGCCTCTCTTCACATGTGCAAACAATCCTAGCACCGTCGATGCACACCGTCCCCATCGACAACCTGGCGACTATGGCTTATCGAATTTTAGAAGTTCAACCAAATTCAACTTCTTGGTTTTCGGTCAACTCAGCGACGGAACCACCGTCCATTGCCGACCAGATTAAGCTGCTTTCCGAACAAATCGCTGGACTTACAGCTTCACACTCTTGCCAATTTTGATGTTTTTCACGTCGACGATAAAACAGCAGAACTTACCGATCGAATTCTAACAATAGACAGTCTGACAACTACTGCTTGTACCACAACAAATTTGGTCATAGAGCAAGGAAATGTGTTTCTCCTTGTTTGTTCAGAAACTCCAAAAACAATGCTCCGCAGATGCCGGAAAACCGCCAGGCCGATTGTTAGGAGCGAGTAACACTCGTGGCTATCAAACCCAATCTCGCCGTCTTTCTGTTGTGGATCTTACTTCTGGACTAAAATTCTTGATTGACACTGGAGCAGACGTTGGTGTTATTCCCCCGCAACCCACCGACACTCTCCCTCCAGGGACTTTTATGAACTTACTTCAGCAAACGGTGCGAAACTACGTACGTTCGGACAACGTTTTCTGACACTTAATCTGGGATTACGACGTGAGTACCCTTGGATTTTTCTTATTGCAGATGTTCGCCAGCCTATTTTAGGTGCGGAGTTTCTTACACATTTTAATTTATTAGTTGGCTTGAAAAACCGTAGCGTCCAGGACCGTATTACTAAGGTATCTGTGTGCGGTGAACTTATCATTTGTTCCCAATCTGCTCCATTGTTATTGTCCACGCTTCATCCAACCTCCTATTCTTCCATACTCAGAGATTTCCCTAACCTGCTTAAACCCAATTTTCACCAGGCTAATCCCAAACATTCTGTAACCCATAGGAGAGAGACTCGCGGTAACCCCGTTTTTGCTCGCCCCCGACGTATGCCGCCTGAACGCTTTCTCGTCGCTAAAAGAGAATTTCAACACATGCTTCAACTGGGAATTATCAGACCCTCTCACAGTACTTTTGCTTCACCCTTGCATATGGTCCCTAAGTAAACGCCAAATGATTGGCGCCCTTGTGGTGACTATCAAGCCTTAAACAACTCCACTATTCCCGATAGATATCCCCTTCCTCATATCCACGTTTTACTGCAAACATTACCGGTTGTACAGTTTTCTCACACATTGACATTCTCAGAGCGTATCACCATGTCCCTATTCACCCCGATGATACGCACAAGCCAGCTATTACCAATCCTTTTGGTTTATTTGAGTTTTGCGTGTGCCCTTTGGTTTAAGGAATGCTGCTCTGACCTTTCAACGTTTTATTGATCAAGTTCTCCACTATCTCGATTTTGTATTCTGTTATTTAGGGGATATTCTCGTTGCTTTCAAAACCCATGATGAACACATTACCCATCTTTGCATACTGTTTCAACGCCTACGAGATCATGGCATAGTACTTAACGTTCACAAATGCGAATTTGGTGTTTCCTCTTTAAATTTTCTCGGACCTACGATTAAGCAGTATGGCATTACTCCTGCACAACCTAAGCTAGACGCTATTACCTCATTTCCGTGTCCCACTTCTCTTCGTCAACTAGAGCGTTTTCTTGGAATGGTTAATTATTATCGTCGTTTCATTCCTCATGCAGCCACTATGTTGATGCCTTTGATTGACCTGTGGAGAGAAACTCACGCTGACTTTCATTTTTCTGAACAATCTCAACAAGCATTTGAGAAAGCCAAATGTACCTTAGCGAAACAATGTACCCTGTTTCATGTGCGCCAAGGTGCCCCTTGTCTCTCCACGTCGATGCATCTAACACTGCAGTATGATCTGTACTTCATCAAACCGTTGACGATCAGAAACAACCCCTTGGTTTCTACTCCAAGAGACTTCAGCCAACGGTGACGCGGTATAGTGTATTTGGTGGAGAACTTTTGGCCATCTACCTAGCTGTGCGTTCCTTCCGACATCTTTTGGAAGGCCTTGAATTTTGCATCTATTCAGACCATAAATTTCTTGCTTCAGCCTTTTCTGCCAATCCTGACAAATATCCGCCCCGAGAGATTCGCCAACTTAATTACCTCTCTCAGTTTTCCACTGCTATCCGGCATGTTGCCGGCAACCAAAACGTAGTCGCAGATACTTTGTTTCCCTCCTGGTGTTGACTGTGTTTCCGCGATCGATTTACACCAGATGGCGAAGGCTCAGAAGTCCGAATCATCCGAATCATTCTCACCACCCGCTGAGAAATTTTCACTTGTGTTAAAACCACTCCCTCTACCTACACATCTTGGAACATTCGAATGTGATGTTTCGATGCATGTACCACGTCCATTGGTACCACCATCTATGCGCCGACAGGTTTTTGAAACTTTTCACAATGTTTCACATCCAGGAATCCTCCAATCCATCCGTCTCATCTCTGAACGATACGTATGGCCAAACCTGAACAGCGGCGTCAAGGAATGGGCTGCAAATTGCTTTTCCTGTCAACGTTCTAAAGTCATCCGCCATACACGCTCGCCTTTCGGAACCTTTAGCAATCCCGATGCCCGTTATGCTAATGTTCATATGGACATCGTCGGTCCTCTTCCTGTGTCAAATAGCAACGCATATATCCTCACATATCTCACACATGGGGGCCCAAAATCTCTTTAACCGCGTTGGCCACTCGGTCTCTGTGTCCCTCCTTACTGACACACTCTCTCTACCTCACAACACGGCGCTCCGTAATTTCAGTGTGTGCATAAGGGGAAGTTGAGATCATCTTGCTTCAAGCTCCATCTGCTGCATTACGATGACACTTCGGGTCAATGTTCTTGTGGCAGTGTGCCACACAATTTTGCTACACATACTATCCTTTCTATGATGAAGGGTCACACTAAAGTGTCTGTGTGGTAAGCCACCGGACCGTGCAACACCAACTCTAAGCAAAACGGCTAATAGAGCGGTGTGTGGAGGTCGATCAGTGTGTAAAATCACCTCGGAGGGCGCAAAACGAAACAGCGCAGGGTGGGAAGAATGTGGGGGGGACAGCGACGGTGAAGTGGGTTGTAGACAAACGGCAAGAGACGCCAAGCACAGGTCGGGGTGTGTGTGTGGAAATCGTCAATATATGTGACCCGGCCTCTCGTGTAGAGGACGGGCCGATACGGGACAGAAACAGGATCACACAACACTAGGGAGCAACCAGTAAGATGTGAAATCTGCTACAGTCAGGGGTCAAACGCGGGGGACACCACCCCCACCACCAAAAACCCCCCCCCCCCCCACCCCCCCACCCCCCCCCCCCCCCCCCCCCAACCCCCCACCCCCCCCCCCACCCCCCCCCCCCACCACAACAACCCCCCCCCCCCCACCCCCCCACCCCCCCCCCCCCCCCACCCCAAAACACCACCACACAACCAAACCAACCACCACACACCCAAAAAAAAAAACAACCAAAACACCCACACAAACAACAAACAAAACAACACACACCCAAAAAAAAAACCAACCCCCACCCCCCCCCCACACCCCCTCCACCCCTTCCACCACCCCAGTACAAGTGCTTACGTTCCCTCTGACCTAATTGCAATGCGCTTGATGTTTTCATGCACTTCAGAGCTCAGTGTGCGGCAAACCCCTTCAACCACCGTACGATGGGCCCTAACCGAGTCATTTCTCGCGGTCCTAAGCATTCACTGTTCAACTCCCAACTCGGACCGACACAGTGAGTATAGACCGTCTCAAGCCCGCACACATCGAAGCTGGCAGTCCAACCCTCGAATCAACGCCCACTGACTACGAAATCGCAATCACCATGCACGCCTCCGAACTACGTCACACGTATCGGTCGTACAAGTTACGAGACCCGACCGATTCAGACCACTTTGACTCTTTGCAAGAGAGGAGTATATGGTAGCATCCGACACGCACGCACGCCGCAAGCACGCGCAGACGGGACGTGCAAGCTTGGCCGATACAAGGTCACTTGACTTATAATATAAATTTTAAATATTTATTATATAAAATTTATCGACTCATGTGAGACTTGAAAAGACACACACAACATATGCATCACCTGAACCACGTGCTCGATGAACGTCCAATGGGGCTGACTAACCGGCTATAGCGATTTGAACCGCGCCTTGTGCCTCTAAAAGTAAAAAAAACCAAAGTTATAAAAACTCGTGATACATATGTATAACATTGCGGTACACATATATATAGATGTCTACTTTTGACAATCGATTTTTTCAAAAAAACTACCTAATCTCGGAGTTTTCGCCTATTATTTGTTTGGGTCGTTAATCACGTAATAAGACGACAACAGTATGTTCCTATAAAACCC